TGGGTGAGGATCATCTTTAAGCTGTGCTGGTGGGGGAGAGGGGGTTCCTTTATCTTCCAGCTCCTGGGGTCCCTGCACAACCAGATCTAGCCTCTGTCAGCGCTTGCAAGTGAAGTGAACGAGAGGGGGAGGGGAGGTAAGGAGCTGCCAGGCAGTGTTGAAGTGGTCAAGGTTAGGGAAAGGAGCTGTCAGAAAGATGCAGAGCCCAGTGGGAGGCTGGATCTAGGTGGGAGGAGCTAGCATGGGCTGCAGGAAGCTTGGGACCAGGTAGGGAAGGGAACCTTTTCCATGCCTGCCCCTGATGCTCTTCTCTGGGTGATCAGGTTGGCAGGGCAGCAGTCAGAAGGGGGTTGGGATGGAAGGAGGGTGATCCAGGGGTGGAGGGCCTAATCATAGGGTGGAGAGGGAGGTTGAGGGTGAATTGGGGGCCATGGGGTGATTTGGGGATCCAAGCAACACAAGGGGGCCCATCCCTCTCTTCTTCCTTCCCTGCCTATACTGTGACTATAGAGCCAGTGAGCAGGGCAGGTGTGGAGCAGACTTGCAGCCCTAGCCACACCCCTGCTTACCAGCCCTCTATCTGCATATTTAAGCAGTGTACATTAGAGAAGGTGTTAAGCTGGAATGTGTGACATCACTAGCATTAGCTAACCTTAACACGTCTGTTATTCCTTAGAATTAGGACCTGCTAGCTCTAGTAGCATAATCTAACCCTAAAGGACATCCTATTTTTGCATCATACTATTTTATAGTATTTGATAGGGAGGAGAGATTGTATTTCTGCAGAGGATGCCTTTGGAAGCCCAAATACACTTGCTCTGTCTTCTGATTGTGATTGGGACATCAGGATTAATATCTGAAGTCCAAAAAGCACTCAAAAATCATATCACTGCAAGATAAAAGTTGAATTAATGCAAAGATGAAGTTACAAAGCATCTTTCCATAAGTGACTGCACCTTTTTTTGTACCCTTTCATGAATAACTGTGGGGTTATTTAAGATCAAATGTGGCCCAATGATTAGATTTCAAGGCAGCAAATGGTACGATCACTTTTAAAATAATGCACATTTACATTTGAAAAAGAACACAGTTATTTGGATGCCTTCTAGCTGGCTTTTCAAATATGATGGTTGTTGTTGTTATGGGAAAAATCAGGAGTAGTTTAATTTCTGGATATAACTGGTTATTCCATCTTCTAGTTTGAGAAATGTTGGTCCAGTTGATTCATCGGGTTTTAAAAGATATGGAAAATGACTATCTCTACTAACTATATTTAATTTATTTTGCATAGTAATTTTGGTAGAGTAAAGTGTGTTCTTGACATTTTGCAGGTGACAAGTAGGCATGTGTGTTTCAGCTCACCTGAAATATATTGGTTTGGGAGAGGCTTTAGGAGAGTTGATGAGAAATAAAATGAAACACTTCCTCTTTAATTAAGATTAGTAAATCCAAAGCTATTCAGAAGAGTGTTTAGAAAAGTGAATGTGCATCTAAAATTATCAGAACACATTGGGACTCTATTACCAAAACCATCACTCTCCCTTCTAAATCAGACCTCTCCCTGCAAAAACATGAGCATTCCACAGATATGTTTGGTGGAAAGGAGTTGACTGGACAGGTTCCTCCTTCTCCCAGAGCTTGCTTTAATTATTCACATTCCTTTCCATTAAGGACAATTGACTAAGTCAGAGGGACCAATATTTCTTCACTGGGTTCTTGGATTCCACCATTTCCCCCCAGATACACTATGGAATCATTTTTTCTCCAACAATCTGAGTGCTTTGTGGGATGGTATAAATCCTGTGAAATCCTTTCCTCCTTCACTGCCTTGGTGTTTGTATTTTGGGGCGGAGGGTGGGGTGTGGGATGCTCCTAGCATCAGCGACTTGGACGAGGGAGTGAAATGTACTCTGTCCAATTTTGCAGATGACACAAAGCTATAGGGAGAAGTGGACACGCTGGAGGGCAGGGAACAGCTGCAAGCAGACCTGGACAGGTTAGGCAAGTGGGCAGAAAACAACAGAATGCAGTTCAACAAGGAGAAATGCAAAGTGCTGCACCTAGGGAGGAAAAATGTCCAGCACACCTACAGCCTAGGGAATGACCTGCTGGGTGGCACGGAAGTGGAAAGGGATCTTGGAGTCCTAGTGGACTCCAAGATGAACATGAGTCGGCAGTGTGACGAAGCCATCAGAAAAACCAATGGCACTTTATCGTGCATCAGCAGATGCATGACGAATAGGTCCAAGGAGGTGATACTTCCCCTCTATTGGGCACTGGTCAGACCGCAGCTGGAGTACTGTGTGCAATTCTGGGTGCCGCAATTCAAGAGGGATGCGGATAACCTGGAGAGGGTCCAGAGAAGGGCCACTCGTATGGTTAAGGGCCTGCAGACCAAGCCCTACGAGGAGAAACTAGAGAAACTGGACCTTTTCAGCCTCCGCAAGAGAAGGTTGAGAGGCGACCTTGTGGCTGCCTATAAGTTCATCACAAGGGCACAGAAGGGAATTGGTGAGTATTTATTCACCAAGGCTCCCCCAGGGGTTACAAGAAATAATGGCCACAAGCTAGCAGAGAGCAGATTTAGAGTGGACATTAGGAAGAACTTCTTCACAGTTCGAGTGGCCAAGGTCTGGAATGGGCTCCCAAGGGAGGTGGTGCTCTCCCGTACCCTGGGGGTCTTCAAGAGGAGGCATCTAGCTGGGGT